AAGTTTATATCTCCGCTACCTGGCATTGCATTTTATGACACGCATGGCCCGGCCCAACAAAGTCTCATCAATGTCAGATCTGGCCCTCCTAACAAATGAGTTCGACACCCCTGCCCTAGAGTGTCCGGGATCGTGGACCTCCTGGGGTTTACATGATTAGGGGTTTACATCCAGGGGTGGCCAAACTTGCTTAACGTAAGAGCGACACAGAATAAATGTCAGATGTTTGAGAGCCAAAAGACATGAACAGATATTGCACACGTGTCTTTATTAAAAATAGGAAACTGTGCTTTTTATTAACAGTAAATGAGACTGCCAAAAATAAATGTGTTCTCCAAACCCACCCCCACCCCCATTGCCAGCCAGCTTGGCTTGGAGAAGGGATTTAAAGAGACAAATGCATTCTCCAAGCCGGCCAGTGTGGGGGGAGGACTTTGAGAATGCATTTAAAGTTAAAGTTGCTTTCTTTCTTTGCTTCCCCCCCCCCACACACACACCTCAAGCCTACCCAGGGAGGGAAACACTGACTGGGGAAGGGCATGCCTCCCCTTCACTTCCCCAGCCGCGCTGCCGGGAGCCACAGAATAAGTGTGAAAGAGCCGCATGTGGCTCCCAAGCCACAGTTTGGCCACACCTGGGCTAATCCATTTCCATTCACATTGGACCATCCTGCCAGAGTTAATCCCTTTTGGACAAAGGACAATCCAGTTTGGGCCAGACCACCTACTTGTCATGGGAGTTCAGAGACATTAGCGGGTATCTGATGGGGGTGGGTAACAGTAGCCTCTGACATCAGTGACGGGGTTTGCATGGGATTCGGGAAATCTGCTCATCATTCTTCAAGAAAAAGCTGTTTTAGGCCCAATTCGATTGACGATAAATGTACATTTAGGATTTTCCCTTGTCTTTAGTTTTTGGTTTCTAGAAGAAACTGGGCGCTCAGACGGTTTTTAATTTTAATTCGATTTTTAAATTAATTTTAATTAGATTTTGGTAAGGGTTAAGGATTAAGGATTCCTTCACCATCTTGTTACTGCAAGGAACTCTGCACATTCTCTGTGGAACCCACTACTGCCTAGGAAACATGTACTTAACTGGAGTGCTTTCCCTGTATTTTGTTTTTGCCCCCTTGTCACCACTTTTTAAAATCCAGACACTTTTTCCCTTTTATTCCCCTCTCTCTTTTATAATTAATTTTTTTGTAAAGACATTTTCTGGCTTCGTTTAGTACAATTAGGGGCATGTGGCTCAGAGGTTAAGACGCTGATCTGCAGACCGGAAGGTCTGTAGTTCAGCAGTTCGAGACCCGAGTGCCGCGTGACAGAGTGAGCTCCCGTCTCTGGCCCCAGCTCCTGCCAACCTAGCAGTTCGAAAGCAAGAAATTGCAAGGAGATAAATAGATAAACAGCGTTCCGTGCGCCTCGGTGCTTAGTCATGCTGGCCACATGACCACGGAAACGTCTTCAGACAGCGCTGGCTCTTCAGCTTGGAAACGGAGATGAGCACCACCCCCTAGAAGCTCTTCCCTATGTGCTAGACCGCATGGCTGCTACGTAGTTGGCTATGAGATATTTGCTTGGCTTTCTATGCTGTCACTTTGTTATTGCTCTTGTAATGTGCTAGATGGATACTTTCTCAGTGGGTCATTCTAGACAGAGTCCACCCTTTGAAGCATTTTCTCCAGTGGAACTGGCCTGGGTGTTTGGAGATCAGTTGTAATCCTGGGAGATCTCCAGGTCCCCTCCTGGAGGATGGAACCCCCTCGGAGCACTGCTCAGTCAGTATTCAAACGACTGTTAAATACTACTAGTCAAAATAAACAGGAGTCTCTTATGGAACAGGAAGTCCAACAAGATTTAATACCTGCAGAAGGTTTTGTGGGCCTTCTTCAGGTTCCATGCGTGGGAACAACAGCAACGTCAAGGGAGCCCTGAAATGCAGCAATTTATTATCATTATTACTATTATGTACTTTACTGTCCTTCCTCTGAAGAGCTCTGGGTGGTCTGCGCTAGTGCCCCTTCCTTCATTTTAACGTTACAACAGCCCTGTGAGGCAGGTTACGCTGACAGAAAGTGTGATCCAGCCAAAGTCAGTCAGGAGTTTCTACAGCAGAGTGGGGATTAGAGGAAAGGTTATATAAAAGTAGCTGTAAAAGACATCTGCTCCTTGGGAGGAAAGCCATGGCGAACCTAAACAGCATGATAAAAAGTAGAGACATCATCCTGCCAACAAAAGTCCGCATGGTCAAAGCAATGGTATTCCCAGTAGTCATGTATGGCTGCGAGAGTTGGACTATAAGGAAGGCCGAGCGCCGAAGAGCTGCAAGAAGATCAAATCAGTCCATCCTAAAAGAAATCAACCCTGACTGTTCTCTGGAAGGCCAGATAATGAAACTGAAGCTCAGATACTTTGGCCACCAAATGAGAAGGGAGCATTCACTGGAGAAGACCCTGATGCTGGGAAAGACTGAAGGTCAAAGAAGACGGGGACGGCAAAAGATGAGATGGTTAGACAGTGTCATAGATGCAACGACTATGAAGTTGAGCCAACTTCAGAGGACGGCGGAAGACCGGAAGGCCTGGTGTGATCTGGTCCTTGGGGTCGTGAAGAGTCGGACTTGACTGTGCAACTGAACAACAACAAACCCTGATCTGCCTATGATGGAAGAATGCAGATCTGGCAACTGCGGCAACCTGGGCCTCCGTAGACAAACAGGCATCCAGTGTCACTTACTCCCAGGCTCTTCACGGAAACAGAGATCAGTTCACCTGCAGAACATGGCCCCTTGGGAAGTTAGACTCTACGGCATTATACCCCATTGAGAAATCCCTCCCTTCTCCAAACCCTGTCCTCTGCCTGCTCGTCCCGATATTCCCCAACTTGGAGCTGGCATCCCTACGTCAAAAGGGATGTTATGCCATAAATCCCCCCCTCCCAAGCAGCCATTCCCTCTATGGGAACTGCTCTGTGCCGCCTGGAGGGCAGCTTGAAAAGTACTGAGCCTGAGGCATAGCAAAGTGATTTCAGCTCATACTTTATTTAGAGATGTAGAAGGAGAGAGAGAATGCGGGCTGGCAGGCCGGCTTATATTTAGGAGTCAAACCACACCCAAGCACACGCCTTTCACCAGTGATAGGATATTTACAGTGGCCAAGCGTTCCATAGGTCCTACCTTGGATCCTAGCCCTCTGATAGGTGCGGGCTAGCATCCGTTTGGTCTATTGTTCCTTAGAGCGAAGCTAGGGCTCTTTGCCTGACCGCGTGTGGACTTGGCCTTGCATGCCGCCGAGCTTAGTATACAAAAATCCCCATCGGCTGCAAATGTGTGCAATTTAAAGAATTATATGTTGTCCTCCCTTCCCCCCCCCTATGAAATTGTTAGTCCCTTGTGTGAAACCCTGTAACTGTAAATCGCTCAGAGCCAGCAGCTCTGCTGGATTGAGCGATCAATAAATCGAAGTTAAAAAAAACAAAACAAGCTGCAATTCCGGGAGAGCTCCAGGCTCCACCTGGTGGATGGCAGCCCTAACAGAGACCTCTCACTAACGATCCCAACCGACGGGTGGGAAATGCCGGCCCTTGCTAAGAAAGCCACCGTTGCGTTGAAATCCACCCACCCCGACCCCTTTTCCATTTCCCCAGGAAGCGCCAGGTGGTCGGATCCTCTCGAAGGGTTAAGGCGACTGAGTTGCAGTCCTAGACGGGCAATGGCAGGGGGGAAGGAGGGGGGGATCACCTGCGAAATCCATTTGTTCCCATTCCTTTCCTCTCCACGCCGAGGCGGCTTCTGGTGGAGGCTTCCGAGTCTGGGAGGGGGCTGGTGAGTTCAAAGGGGTGTGTGGGCGCAATGCAAGAAGACCCAAGGCGGGGAGAGGGGGGAGAGGAGGAAAAGCAGGCAGCTGCAGAACTGAAGGTGGGTGGGGGGGGAAGAGAAGTCCCCCCCCCCCCCCCTTCCCTTGGCTCCTTCCTGCACCTTCTTTTTGTAGCTGGAAGGAAGAGGAAACGGGGAGGGGGGGAAGAATAAATAAAGGGATGCCGGACTCCAGGTAGGACCTTCCCTCCCCATAGCTCTCGAATAAAAACTATTTATTTTAAGGACAAATAGATTTAAAAATAGCTTTTATTCGAGAGCTATTATTGCCTTAAATGCTGTATGAAATTGGAATTTGGGTGACATTGGTGGTTTTAAGTTGTTATGTGAACCTTAAGGGAGTTATGGGACAGTAGTGAATGGGGTGTGAGTGTATATGAATATTGTTGCAGATCACCGAAAGGATTGCATCTTTAATTTCGCTGTACTATGTACAACGACAATCAAGTATATTATTGTTATTATGTACAGCTTACCGTTCCCCTGGAGAAGGTGGATGCTTAGAGGGGTGGGACTCTATGGCAATTTAAATATTCACAGTGAAGGGGAGGGACTCCCAAGTAGAGACCAAGTGGTGGTGATGGGGGGGTTAATGGGAGAGCAATGGCCAGTGAGGCTCTCCCAGGCGTGTTCACATGGAAAACAAAAAAACACCGCTCCCCCTGGCAGAGATGGAGTACAGGGGAACATAGGAATATAAGAAGAGTCCTGCTGCATCAGACCAGCGGTCCATCTAGGCCGGCATCCTGTCTCACACAGTGGTCAAACAGTTCATCTGGAGAGCTTATAACAAAGTATAGAGGCCGAGGCCTTCCCCTGAAGTTGCCTTCCCACTCTGGGATTCAGAGGTTTACTGCCTCTGAATGTACAGGTAACATTTAGTCACCACGGCCAGTAGCCACTGATAGACCTTTCCTCCTTGAATCTTTTAAAGCCATCTATGCCTGTGGCCATCCCTAGGTGTGATGAGGTATGGTGCATTTACTGATCTTGTTTCTGTATCCTTTGTTGCCCTGTCTCACCTGCCCATTCTTCTCTTCTTTGGCATCTCCTGCCCTTGCTGAAACTGGGACTGAGATTTTGGGGGTTCTTATAGTCTTCTCTGCCTCCCAGGGTTGAAAAAGACCATGACAGAGTCCAAAGAGGAGGACTTTCTTCAGGAAGGCCGTGAGGCAAGAGAAAGGCCTGAGGCTTCTCCAGGAATACTACCCGAGGATATGTTCTTCCAAAGGAGAGCTGATGAAAGTGAGTGTTTTTTAAAGATGGGAGATTGAAGATATTGTGGTGAAGAGGGGTGGGGAAACAATACAGTTAATATGTATCCTAATTGTGGGGAAATTCATCATAAGAAGAGCCCTGCTGGATCAGACCAATCTGTTCCTGGCGGGCTTTAACTCCCCCAGCTCCACAGTGTGCATAAGCAGTCAGGCATCCCATAGGCCTCCAGCACTGCCCGTGCGCCCAAGACCACTACGGCCACCCAAAGTGGGAGGGACCTCCTGCTGCCACCAGCCCCCCCAAATGGGGTCAAATCCCCAATCATGGGGAGAGATCAGGCCAACACCAGTGTCTACTCAAGCGCTCAACCAGTGGCCCAGTAATGTAAGTTCCACCTGCCTAGGGTCCTAGGAGGGAAACACCCAAGATGGCTGAGGTGAGAGGAGCGTCCTGGAAGAGGGAGGAAACCTTGGACCTACTGGCATTATGGGGGAGCAGAAGGTCCAAGAGACGCTTTGTCAGTGCCAAAGGAACCGGGACACCTACGAAGAAATAGCTAGAGGAATGGCTGACAGGGGCCACCGTCACTGTGTGCTGGAGTGCCACACCAAAACCAAAAGAAGAAGAAGAGAGGAGATTGGATTTATACCCTGTCCTTCATGCGGAGTCTTAGAGCGACTTACAAACTCCTTTCCCTTCCCCTCCCCACAACAGACACCGTGTGAGGTAGGTGGGGCTGAGAGAGCTCTGACACAAACTGCTCTTTCTCAAGAACAGCTGTGCCAGAATTATGGCTTGCCCAAGGTCATCCAGCCAGGTGCAAGTGGAGGAGTGGGGTTCTCCCAGATTAGAGTCCGCGCACTTAACCACTACACCAAACTGGCTCTCCGTGTGCCCCACCCAGTAAGCACCTTCCCAGCGGTGCAATGGGGAGAGACAGCCACCTACAACCAGGTGGATGGCTCCTGGGCCCTGGGCAGGGTGGGAGGGTTGGCCTTGTCCAGTTATCATGTGGAACAGCGGTCACGGCGAGTGTGGAGGGGGAGGCATTTGTGAATTTCCTGCATTGAACAGGGGGTTGGACTAGATGACCCTGGAGGTCCCTTCCAACTCTATGATTCAATGATTCTATGTAGCCATTTGGGGGAGGGTAGGCCTGGGAGATAGTACCACCCGCAACTGTGCAGGTGGGCCCCAGGTGGGGTGGGAGCGGGAGGGTGGGCCCCACCTGGGCCCCACCCAATCACCTTGCCAGTGGTGGGAGGGGGCCCGGGGGGAGACAGCCACTTGCAACCAGGCGGGTGGCCCTCAGGCAGGGCAGGAAGGTGGGCCTTGCCCGGTTATCATGTCGCTGTTTAGGGGAGGGTGGGCCTGGGAGACAGTACCACCAGAAAGGTGGGCCCCGTGGGGTGGGTACCCCCCCGGGTGGGTACCCCCCCAGTTATCACCTTGTCAGTGGTGGGAGGGTGGGCCCAGGGGGAGACAGCCACCCACAAGTAACCGGATATTTCCTGGGCCCTGGTCAAGATGGGAAGGGTGAGCCCAGGGAGACACAGCCACCTGCAACCGGGCCGGTGGCTCCCAGGCAGGGCTGGAGGGTGAACCCTGCCAAGTTATCACATTGTCCATTCGGCTGGCTGTACAGTGAAGGAGGGAGGGCCTAGGGAGACAGAGCCACCCGCTCTGGGGGTGCCTCCTGGGTGCCGGGCAGGAAGGGAGGGTTGGCCCAGCCTAGCAGTCACTATGGTAGAATGAGCTCCCGGAAGACCTCAGGGCCCCTATGGGACCGTTTACAATTCCACAGGGCCTGCAGGACGAAGCTCTTCCACCAGGCCTTTAACTAAGGAGCCGCACCCAGTACATCAAGGCCCTGGGCCCAGTACCACCACTGACAGCATGAGTTCCACCGACACTGAAATCTAATACCGATTGCATCTACTAGTATGTTGATGCTTCTTAAATTGCTTATTAGCACCTTATGTTGTTGTTTTTAATGCCATTCTTTATATTGTTGTTTTTAGCTACTGCGTGTATATAAGCCACCCTGAGCCTGCCCTGGCGGGGTGGGCGGGGTATAACATAAATAAATAAATAAATATGTCAGTAGTGGGTGGGCTCAAGTGGTTAAGATGCTGAACTGCAGGCTGTGGAAGGTCAATAGTTCAGCAGTTCGAGACCCAAGTTGCAGCATGACGGAGTGAGCTCCCGTCTCTAGTTCCAGCTCCTGCCAACCTAGCAGTTCGAAAGCAAGAAATTGCAAGGAGATAAATAGGTACCACTTCGGTGGGAAGGTAGCAGCATTCCGTGCGCCTTGGTGTTTAGTCATGCCGGCCACATGACCTCGGAAACGTCTTCAGACAGCGCTGGCTCTTCGGCTTGGAAAAGGTGATGAGCACCGCTACCCTAGAGTCAGATTCGACTGGCTTTCAAGCAAGGGAGACCTTCACCTTTACTTTTAGTGGGTGGGCATGGGGAGAAACAGCCACCAACAAGTGTGCAGCAGGCTCCCGGGCCCCGGGGGGGAGTAGGAGGGTTTGCCCTGCCCACTAATCAGTTTGACAATCCACAGAGGAAGGGAGGGTGGGGCTGGGTGGAAGCAGGTGCCCTCAAGCCTGGGGGGGGGGGGTGGGCTTGCCCTATTCAGTGATCAGATTTTCAGTTGGATAGTGGGTGGTCTGGCCTACGCACTCCTGAACGTCTCTTCAGAAGGCACTTTCCTGGGAAACCTTGTTTGGGGGTCCGTAACTCAGACACCCCCCCCCCCAAATCCAACCTGTACATAACTTGTAGGTCATGTGGAGTGGCATCCCAGGAAGATACACGGTGGGTTGGATGCCTCTAGTTCAACCAGAGTTCATTCCGTATACTCCTGAACAACTCTCCCAAAAAGCATTTTCCTCGGGTGCTTTCTTTGAGGTTCTGTAACTTGGACCCTCGAAGTCCAATCTTCACCAAACTTGGTGGGCAGGTGGAGGAGAGTCAGCTGGAGATTATTTGTGGGCCAATCAGTCCCCCGGGGGGGGGGGATTTCCTCCCCAGACCGGTTCACGAACTGGTCCGGTTCGAGTTTGCGAACCAGTTCGAGAACTGAACCAGGATTTCCTGGTCTGTGCCCATCCCTAATGGCTGATATTGCTCCCATAAGAAGAGATTGGATTTATACCCCGCCCTTCACTCGGAGTCTCAAAGCGGCTTACAAACCCCTTTCCCTTCCCCTCCCCACAACAGACACCCTGTGAGGTGGGTGGGGCTGAGAGAACTCTGACACAAACTGCTCTTTTTCAAGAACAGCACTTTCTTGTTCCCATCCTTTCATCAGAGAAAGTGTTTCTGATTAGTGACTATCTTGGCTAGCTGGTATTGTCTTTTGGATGCATCCTTTGTATTCTGTAATTCTCCACAGTAATTTGAATTGCTTCATTAGACTCATTTTCTGATTTGATCTTCTGTTTCTTCTTTAAATATGTTTCATGGTTCTCTTTCAGCTGGAGATGTGTGGGACACAACTAGTGAAAACGAAACTTATCAGGTATTGGAGGAAAGTGATACGACTCTAGAAGTGCAAGAAAACTTTGAGAATCACAAGGTCCAAAAAAACCTGGTGGGAAACCAGCAGGATAAAGGAAATAGTGAATCGATTGCTTTTCTCAATGGTAACTACCATGGAGCAATACAGGAAGGAAAGAGAAGGATTGAATGTTCTACCTGTGGGAAAACCTTTGCTAGTGTAGCAAACCTGAAAGCACACTGGAATATCCACACAGGGGAGAAACCATATGACTGCTTGGAATGTGGAAAGAGATTCAGTCAAAGCTCAGCTCTTCAGGTGCATCAAAGAACCCACACAGGAGAGAAACAATATAAATGTTTTGAATGTGGAAAGAAGTTTGCATATAGTACGTACCTCATTCTGCATCAAAGAATCCACACAGGAGAGAAACCATATAAATGTCTAGAATGTGGAAAGAGGTTTTGTAGAAAATCGAACCTTACGGTGCATCAAGGAACCCACACAGGAGAGAAACCCTATATATGTCTGGAGTGTGGAAAGGGGTTTATTGTAAGATCGTACCTTGTTAGACATCAAAAAATTCATGCGAGGGAGCAACTGTATCTTTTCCACAAGCCTGGCAATAGCTTCAGCCAGAGTCAACAGGAAAGAAACCACATGGGTGAAAAACCGTATAAATGTTTAGAATGTGGGAAGAGCTTTGTGCAAAGTACGACCCTCATTCGACATCAAATGGTCCACACAGGCGAGAAACCATATATCTGTCTGGAATGTGGAAAGAGTTTTAGGCAGAGTAAAAATCTCATTATGCATCAAAGAACCCACGCAGGTGAAAAGCCATATAAATGTTTAGAATGTGGAAAGTGCTTCACTGAGAGCACCAACCTCACCATGCATCAAAATACCCACACAGGCAACAAACCATATATATGCTCAGAATGTGGAAAGAGCTTTAGGCATACCTCAGGCCTTGCTATGCATCGAAGACTACACACAGGAGAGAAGTTGCACGAGTGTTTGGAATGTGGAAAGAAGCTCACGACAAATGCAAACTTCATCAAACATCAACTACTCCACAAAGGGGAAAAACCATATAAATGCCTGGAATGTGGAAGGAGCTTTAGTCTGAGTGAAAGGCTTATGAACCACCAAAGAATCCACAAAGAAGGGAAACCATTCCAGTGCCTGGATTGTGGGAAAAGCTTCAGTCACAGCGTAACTCTTAGGAGACATAAAGATACGGAGACAGGGGAGTGTAAAAAGGGCGTCAGTCAGACGCAGAGAAGGCCCAGGATCCAGAACAAGAAGAAGCCGTATCAGTGCCTGGATTGTAGAAGTTGCTTTAATAACCCCTCGAACCTTCTTAGGCATCAACTAATCCACACGGGAGAGAAGCCATTTAAATGCCAGGAATGTGGATTTTGCTTCAGCCAGCACTCCAACCTTATGAGACATGTGCTTATTCACACTAGGGAAAAACAATAGATAGGCTCAGCCTTGGGGAACGGTCTTGTCCATAAATAAAACATTCACATTAGGTTGTCTAAATGTTCAGACTGTTTGGGAACTTGCATGAGAGAAGTGACGTCAGTGACAACACCCCTAAATTCTTTAGTAGGGATGGAACTGAGGAGAATCCTCACTTCATATTGTGGAGCCCAAGGCAAAGAGAATATATGTAGCACAGAGATTTGCTTATTCAGATCTTCCTCCAGGTCTTTGCATCTCACTTCTTCCCCTGTGGAAATACCAGGCAGATGCTTTCAATATTTGGGGAAAGGAAAGCTGGATCCTTGGATTTTTTAAAAAACGTATTTTACATCCTTACCTTCTGAACAGTTTGTTGATGTACGTTCAATAATAAAAGATGAGCAATTCAAGTTGGACACTTAAAAGGTAAAGGTTCCCTTGCTTGAAAGCCAGTCAAATCCGACGCTAGGGTTGCGGTGCTCATCTCCGTTTCCAAGCCAAAGAGCCAGCGCTATCCGAAGACTTTTCCGTGGTCATGTGGCCGGCATGACTAAACCCCAAGGCTGTTACCTTCCCACTGGGGTGGTACCTATTTATCTACTTGCAGTTTCTTGCTTTCGAACTGCTAGGTTGGCAGGAGCTGGAACTAGAGACAGGAGCTCACTCCATCATGCGGCACCCGGTCTCGAACTGCTGAACTACCGACCTTCCACAGCCCGCAGTTCAGCGTCTTAACCACTTGAGCCACCGCTGAACACTATGAATCCCTACCATTTTGTTGTTGTTTCGTTTAATAGCATTGAAAATCACTCTTTGTCGTCTTGCGCATCATAACTATGTGCCTCTAATTGACATACTAAGCTAATCCTTAGTACGTGTTGGAGGCTGTTTTTTTTTTTTTTTAACTGTAGAGAAACAGAATGGTAGTTCCCTCTAAGTTGTGCTAAGGGTTGCTGGCACTTAAAATGTTAACAGGCAGCGCAGGGATTTCTGCTTCTGCTCACAAGGTGTTTTCCCCTCCATTGGATACAATGGAGGATGGGGTCATCTCCTTCTGGGGCCCATAGAATTGGACCCCCTGGTCCAATCTTTTTGAAACATGGGGAGTTTTTTTGAGGAGAGACACCAGCAGCTATGCTGCAAATTTGGTGCTTCTTCCTCAAAAAACAGCCCCCCCCCGAGCCCCAGATTGATTCTCCATTATAGCGTATGGGGCTTATTGACTATAAGGGTCCCTGTAGGCCAGTGGTGGCCAAACTTGCTTAATGTAAGAGCCACATAGAATAAACGTCAAATGTTTGAGAGCCGCAAGACCTGAACAAATATCACACACACATTTTTATTGGGAAATATGCAGATTTGCTTTTTATTAGCATTAAATGAGACTGCCAAAATAAAAACAAAAGGGATAAAAACAGATATTGATAATGATATATGTTTTCCCAATGACATTTATTTGTCTTAAGACAGTGAGAAAGAGAGAGGTGGAAAGAAAGAATGAAAGGGGGGGGGAGAGAGAGAAACAAAGAAAGCAAATAGATGGGGGAGTGAGGTGGAGGTGGAAAGTAGGAAACTTTAAATTCGTCCTCCAAGCCCACCCCCGTGGCTGGCTGGCTGGCTGGCTTGGCTTGGAGAAGGGATTTAAAGAGACAGATGCCTTCTCCAAGCCAGCCAGTTGCAGGGGGGAGGTTGAGAACATATTTAAAGTTAAAGTTGCTTTCTTTCTCTGCTCCCCCCCCCCTCAAGCCTATCCAGGGAGGGGAACACAGACTGGGGAAGTGAAGACTGAATGGGGAGGCATGCCCTCCCCTTTGCTTCCCCAGCCACCCTGCCGGGAGCCACACAATATGTGTGAAAGAGCCACATGTGGCTCCCGAGCC